TATTATTTTCAATGGAACAAAGATTTTCAGTATATGCATACATACTGAAGATAATCTATTGAGTAAGATGCTTAACAAAATAGGTAGAATAGAAAAATCATGGTTAATAAGTAAAAACTTCTTGGAATATTTCATATGACTGGTCTAGAATAAGGATTTCAAAATTATTTCTTGGTCTGTATTCTTTAGTCCATAAAACTAACCCATCAAAAATACTTCACACCTTGTGTAAGGTTCTAGATGAACAAGAGGACACAGTGGGTCTGGACTCATGAGGATAGTTTAAATTCCCATCCAATCTTTCACATCAAGTTTTTAAACAGCAAAATTGACCAAGTTCTAACTTCTTCCTGGGAGAAATGCAGAGAACTGGAATTGGTTATGACAAAAACCAAACTAAATTCACCGTCATGACTTAAAAAAAAAACCAACAAAACTGATTGGATGTACAGTAACAAGAGTGAACCCTAATGTAAACTGTAGACTTTGGGTGATAATGATGTGTCTGTGTAGGTTCATCTGTTGTAACAAATGCACTGCTGTGGTGGGGGATATTGAGAGAAAAGGAGGCTATGCACGCACAGGGGCAAGAATTATGTGGGAATGGTGGGAAGAATTTATGTTCCAAGGACAGGAGACTAGGTGAGGAGCCTCTGATTGTCTGTGTCCAGCTCTCAGATCAACCAGTGATCATGTCCACTTGATGACCTCCTCCAGCGCTTTTGCATGTTCTTTCTCCATGAACCCCATTGAGTACTCACAGAATAGATCAATAGATCAAAAAGAACCATAAGATCTTGGAGGGAGGGGCAGTAGCATTAATCAAAACATTAATGAAGCAGGGGAAAGGGAAAACCCACTGGCTCTAGAACATTGGTGAACACTCATTACAGCTGAGGAAAGGGAACAGAAGGTGGGGAAAAGTCTATTCTTGGGACAAGGGGCAGGATTAGGTGCTGAATCCACAACTGGCAGATTTCAAGTGACAAGTAACAGCAAAATGCTGCTGGGCAAGGGATGGGAAAGGAATAAGAATGTGTAGACAGAAGCTTTTTGAGAAGCAGCTCAAGGGGAAGATCTAAAACTCAAACAGGCATTGCTCTGATACACATCCACCACCCTGAAAACAAGCTATCTCTAGGAGTTTGAAATCTCTGATGCACTGAGTATAACCATTGCAAAAAGAAAAGTAAGGAAGAGAGAAGAGAAAAGAGAAGAGAAGGGAAGGGAAGGGAAGGGAAGGGAAGGGAAGGGAAGGGAAGGGATGGGAAGGGAGGAGAGGAGAGGAGGGGAGGAGGGGAGGGGAGGGGAAAGAAAGAAAGGAAGGAAGGAAGGGAGGGAGGAAGGAAGGAAGGAAGGAAGGAAGGAAGGAAGGAAGGAAGGAAGGAAGGAAGGAAGGAAGGAAGAGAAAGAAAGAAGAAAGAAAGAAAAGAAAGAAAGAAAGAAGAAAGAGAAAGAAAGAAAAGAAAGATTGAATTAGTGAATTGCTAACTGAATTAATGTAAAGCCTTCCATTACAGTTCTAGCAGAAGGACAGGCATGACCATATCCAGGTATATAAACCATTTACCTGTCTCCTGACCTACTCAACGCATTTGGCTTTTAACAAAAAAAAATTATGAGACATACAAAAAGGCAAGAAAAAGCCAGTATACTGCCACGTGACAGAGTAATCATCAGAAATAATTTTCAGCTTTACTATAAAGTGCAAATAATTAAGAGAGTGTGGTATTGGTGGAAGGACAGATTTACAGATAAATGGAACAGAATAGAGAATCCAGAAATAGACCCACACAAATATAATCAACTGATTTTTAATAAAGATGCAAGGGCAATTAAATGGAGAAATGCTAGTCTTTTCAAGAAATCATGTTGGGGGGCACCTGGGTGGCTCAGTTGGTTAAGCAACTGCCTTCAGCTCAGGTCATGATCCTGGAGTCACGGGATCAAGTCCCGCATCGGGCTCCCTGCTCAGCGTGGAGTCTGCTTCTCCCTCTGACCCTCCCCCCTCTCATATGCTCTCTCTCTCTCTCTCAAATAAGTAAAATCTTTAAGAAAAAAAAAGAAATCATGTTGGAACAACTGGAGGACCATAAGAAAAGAGGGCCGGGGGGGCTTCAGTGTGTATCTCACATCTTATATAGAAATTAACTCAGTTACAAAGGTTAGTATCAACAGTAATTAGTCATGCTGATAGCACTGGCCCCTGATATGATGTGAGAAGGGCCATTACCTACATGATATTCTTCCCCCAGATCCTTAACATCAGTCTATTCATGAAAAAACATCAGAAAGACTGAAATTGAGTCACATTTTACAAAATAGCTCACTAGGGATACTTTATACTATCTTTTTAGTGATTCTGTAAATCTAAAGCTGTTTTAAAATTGTAAGTTTTAAGAAAAAGAGAAATGGACGTGAAGTCACATACCCTATTTCCCTTGGAGGAGAAGGTTGAGGTAGAGTGAACGCAGAGTAGCAACCAGGGAAGCCAATGAAATTGGCATTTCAGTGATTTATACTTGATGCCATTAACTTTCAGATGTTTCTCAAGCCTAGTTGGTGCGAGGAGACCATTTCATTTTCTGTAAATAGGAACTTTGGTGGAAGAACTAGAGCCTCTGAAGGGGGAGTGAGGGCTCCTAATGTTAACTCCTGTTCTGCAGCTTATACCCTCAGCACTTAATTCCCACAATTTTTTTCACTTCAAGTATTGCCATGTTGGGATTCTGAGTCTCTGGGTTTGAGCCTCTTGACTTCACCTCTGCTTTTTATTCCCCCAGATTTATGAGTTTGTGTGGTATTTACCTAGATCTGCCCTTCTGTCAAAGTGTCCATAACTGGATGTGATTTCACAAAGGTAGGGTTGATCAGCACCAATGTTGTACTCCAAGTCATAGTCTTACCTTTGTAGCCTACACAATGATGGGATGGAATAGACCCTGTTCACAGTGATATCCCCTTCTTGGGAATCGCAAGTGAAAAAGACAGACCCGCACTAGCCAAGTCTTTACACCAGTCCCAATCTAGGACAACCAGAGTCTCTATCCCAGGAATGTGAAATTTTGAACTGAAAGATACAGGAATGAAAGACTGAGGACAAAGTGTAGGAAATTCTGCCCCCAAGGGGCCCACAGTTATTTTCAGTCTGTTATTTCTGAGGCTCGGATACAACCTGTATTCGTTTTCTATAGTTGTTGTGGCAAATTACCACACGCTGAGTGGCTGGAAACATTAACTCTTTCACTAATAAACATTAATAAAGCTACTAATTCTGTCATAGCTCTGGAGGCCAGAAGTCCAAGGTGAAGTTGTCAGCAGTGCTTTATACTACCTGCAGAAGCTCTGGGGGAGAATTTGTTCCCTGTCTTCCCTGGGTTCCTTGGCTTAAGGCTTCATCACTCCCATCTCTACCTCTGTCTGCACATCTTCTCTGTCTTTCCCCTTTGTGTGTCTCTTATAAAGACACTTGCCGTTGGATTTAGGGCCCACCAAGATGATTTCCTCATCTCAAGATCCTTAATTACATCTACAAAACCCTTTTTCTAAATAAGGTAACATTCACAGGCTAAGATATTTTGGGAGAGCACCATCATTCAACCCAATACCCCACCCTTCCAATTATTTTCTTAAACTAAGTAGTGCCAGTTTCCATTACTTGCAACCAAAATAAAACTAGTTTGGTCTCTCGATGCTAGCCGTGCAGTTGTAAGTGGTTTGCACCGCCTGTATACTAAGCTTGACTTCAGAAATTCTCCAATTTCAATGTAGTAAGAGTTACTTTGGAATTTATTAAGAATGCAGGTTTCTGCCCTCCTCCTCAGTTTCTCAATAAATTGGTCCAGGAATCTGCATTTTTAACAATTCTCAGGTGGTCCTGATGATAAAAGAACAGGAAAAAATGTGAAACCTCAGACCCATTAACGCCCGATTCAAATAAAACCAAGAGGAAAAGCAATGAAAAATAATTTGAAAACTTTAATGATGTTGTTTAGATAGTAAAAACATAAAATCTTTTAAATAAAGTACATTCAATTTCTCAGAGCATCTAATATTCAGATAATTTATATTTCATACACTTTCCAACATTAAATAATTGACTAAATAATGCATTTTCTATAAAATGATATTACAGCTTATACAGGTAAAAGTACATTACAAAAACACTCCACACAGGAAGAATGGCAGTACCTATTAAGAAATGCTATAAACTTTCCATTAAAAAATATATTTTATCTCTCATTTGTCATTATAATAAACAGAATATATATTTTTCTTTCTAAAATTGTCTTACACAATTTCCCTTTAGGATGATAATATGTACAAACCTTATATCTGAATGAATATAAATAGAAATACTGTAATAGTGTTATAGATATATTAGTAACTTTTACAGAAAAAAAATATGGCTTTCTAATAAAAGCCTCTAGCACAGCTGAAATCTCAAAGCTATTTAAGTTAGACATTCCCATATTTAGTAAGGCACAATGGATCTAGTTTCTTATTTCCAGTTGAATTACTGTGAGCAGTAAATAAGGGAAAATATAGTCAGTAGATATGGGACCAGATCTATCAGTTGGATAAACTATTTGGGGTTTATTGAACTTTTGGGGGAGATGTTAGTTCTTTCTCCACACCATTCTTTCTTTTTGTGCCCTGTGGCCAAATCTAGTCCTTGGAGATGAGAAAGAAATCACTGTACCCCCCTCAAGTGCCTGAGAAACAGTTTACTCATTCATTGGATCTGGTCCATTGTGAGGAAATAGCCCAGTGACCATTTCCGGTTATAAGCAGCTTATTTTTACTGATTGGACCTGGCTCCCTATCATTTCTAAAAATAGCTTCTGATATAATCTGTACATGGTGAAGCTGTGAAGGAACCTGATGGTCTTCCTCAGGCTCTGAGTGACAGTTTTGGGGAAGTGGTATGTTTTCAAGTGCTTCAGCGCATGCATTAAGCCCTTCAGGGTGTCTTGGTCGCCATTTTTTATTCTCCACAGGCTGAGCAGCTTCAGAATCTGCTCACTTGATTTGCATGCCTTCAACGTCTTCTCAATGTCTTCTGTTGTGACTTTCTTCCCCGGCAAGCTTTCCATCAAGGTCCGGAGCTGCTCGAAGGTGAGGTTTGTGTGTCCAATGTGCCGCTGTATGCTGTTTTCACACAGGTCGATATCTGCATCAAGCAAAAGCCCGGAGAGACGGTCACATAATGTATATTCTAAAGCCGCCACCACAAAACGACCATGAGGCAGAAGGAGCTTCTCCCAGAATTTCATAAATTTATTTTAAGGATAACCTTCCCCTTCCTTTTATGGCGGAGGGGAGGGCTAAGTGATGCTAGTTATTTGTGAGAACTGAGTTGAATATTATTTCGTGTTATAAAGGGTAATGTGCTTTATGTATTCTAGGCAACCAGCAGAGCTTTGTGAAAAGCCCTGATTTTGGAAATGAACAGTAGAAAACTATAGACACATCACCCTCAGTTTTCTAAGAAAAACTGGAAAAATTAAAACGATAACATTTCAGAAAAATAGGAATAAAGTATTTGACTTAGCCATTTTGTAATATAAACTTTCATTAGTGGTTATGTGATATATACCTCATTTGAAGAGTTGGGTGTGATAAATGGTCTTTAATAAATAGCACCAGAGGATTACTATGGAGGAGGAGGAGATCTGAAAAACTCAATAGAATGAGGACAAAGAATGGTAGGATTCATATGACCTAGAGAATATTTCAGTAATGAGCTGGGACATAAACATAAGAGGGAGTATCTAACATTTCCATTAATGACACGAGTCATTTGCTGTCTGTGAGCCCTAAGGCAAGTCAGTTCATCTTTTTGGACTGAAATGTGCTTATTTATAAAATAGAGAATTTGGCCCCTTCCAATTCTAACAGTCCCTGATTCTCTTATCCCATCTCTTCCCCCACCCCCTTTTTCTTCCTGCTTCAGGGCTAATTATACTTTCAAAGAATACATTTTATTTGCCAAAAACAGAAGAAAACTTTACTCTGCACAAGTGAAAGTCAAAAATCTTAAGTCTCCTAACATAACAGGCCTCAGTTTCAGATGTTTGAGGAAGTATAGGACTCTTTGGTCATCTAACTACAGGTAAAGAGCAGATGGGTTTCTCACTTTGTCTGCATTATGAAAATCTTCCTCCTCCTTTCTGGCAGGTGCTCCCAATGCTAACTGAAGTCAGAACTCTTTCCACTGTATACCCTAAAGCTTACAGTCCACACTGCATGAAACTTCCTTTTCCCCTTGGATTCTTTCCCATCATAACACACACACACACATACACACACACAGTTTCTAAAGGAGACTTTTTTTATAAAAGTCTAAAACATGAGAGTACTTGGTTTTAACTAGCCCTTTTCTCTAAGAAGCTCAAACACTTTACAGACCTCATCTCATTAATCCTCACAACATATGCTATTAAAATGGTAATTTTAAAAATAGGCTATGCTGTTAGGATTAATGAGAGGACATCTGTAAGATGCTTGGAGGCCCTCTGGACAGAATTACCAAATAAATACAAATAAATACAACAGAGCTTCTTGGTGGAAATGCAAGATAAGATCCAAAGTGTTTAAAGAACATCTAGGTAGGCCAGAGGGGATGCTAATAAAACTGCTAAGGGATCTAGAGGTGGAATTCCTGAGGTCTAGTCCTGTATTGAAATGGACTGTCTCTTGTTTTAGAATGTTCCATATACTTTAAAAAGCAGTCGGGGTGTGGAGGAGGTGAGAATAAAGCCTTGCACGACCGCTCTAGGGATATCTTCTATAACATTGCTTGGTGAAAACATTTTAGTCCAATAGTAATTCCCAAAGGGAAACATTGTCCACACAACTGAACAGGTACATAGTCTTCTTGTTTATGATAAATAGGTGTGATTTCTGCTTGATTTGTTTATTTCAGGTTATCATACCTTGGAAGATCTTCTTGAACATATCTTGATCTTTGTTTTGATGCTTCCATAACTTCAGGAGCTGGAAAGTTTGCTCTTGTGGGCTGTGTCGCCGTTTTATCCTCTCTACGCTCTCTGCGTTTACTCTGGTGCCCGGCAAATTATCGACCAGGACACTGAGCCAATTAGGGGTGAACTTTGTAGGAACAGCAAACCTGAAGAATGCCTCCTCACACAGGGTGACGTCTAAAGGTGGGAAAACCAAGAAGATTTACTTAGCAACTGGATTCTTGGAAGTCTAGTGGGCAATAAATAAATAAGCCAACACAATCGGGGTTTTTAAAAATCGAATGTGTTAAAATGTGAAGTTCGGATAAAATCAACCCTCTGTTGGCTGGTCTTAGTGGCAGATTGTCAACCCAACTGGGCTTATGTCCTTTCTAATGTTCTTTTAGGGCATTTAGGGGAGAGAATTTAACAAATGTCTAATGAAAACATTGCTATAAATAAATTGCAGCAAAAAATTCTGTGTCTCGATATACACATTCACATATTTGAATGTAAATATTAAATATCCCGTTAAAGGGTTAGCTAGCATCCACAGGTTACTTCAAGATCAATGTCAAAACAAATATAATTACTGTCTTTAGAGGAGCATGAAAAGTAACCTAGAGTAGTAGACTGTTTTCTGCACACACATAAACACATAGTTTACCTTTGAGAACAAGGACGGAGATGGATGTATAAGCATACATTAAGTGGGAAAATAATCAACACAAAAAAATATGCCATTTAGAAAAGAGGTACAATGGCCTGAGTGTCTGGATAGATTAAGAGTTTGTCTTCAGATTCATCAGACCTGGCTTTGAATTCTGACTGCCACTTCACCACCTATATTGAACCTGAGCAAACTTCACAGTGTTTTTGTAAAGATTAAAGCTCATATAGCAGAAGTACCTGGCACATAGTAAGTGCTCAATGAATGATAAAAATAAAACTAAAAATGAATTAAATAAAGAGAGTGTTAAAGTTAGAAGTCGCTCCTCTTATCACTCCTTCCCTCATCCCATTGTTTGACTAGGAAAGCAGAAAGGCTAAATGACTTGTCAAAGATTCGGATTACAGGGTGAAAACATGTTGGAACTGGGTGTGAGTCTTAAATATCTCAGCCCACATTCCTATGTTTCATATTCTTCTATGTCATACGAAAAGATGCTTGGGGGGGAGTCAAGCTGGTTATATGATAAAAGGCAGGTCATCTTTGGCGTGATGCATCCTTGATAGAAGGTCTGAGATTAGTCTAGTAGTAGGAATGACACCACTATGGGATGCAGTCACATAATGAGCTTGGAGCTAGTGACCCTTCCTGAATACAGAGTTTAGGACAATCAGAGGAACTGATCACCTCTGTGCAGTCGAGGCATAACACCACAGGTAACAAAGCCAGGTTTGCACTGTCTGATTTGTTACCAGTTTATGTCACGATGCTTCTTGGTTGCCAGTTTTTATTCTTTTTTTTTTTTCCAGTTTTTATTCTTAAAAGTAATGAAAATGCATGATTTACCAAAAACTCTACAATTCGGACTGATAATTTGGCCTTAGACATAATCTTTACACAACCCCTTTCCCCATGGGTAAGATTTGATTCCAGTGTAAAAGGGAGAAAGTCAAGTTTGGGAGCACGATCATGACAAGGTGAGACCTCTGGAGAGATTGTGACTTGTGGTCTTAGTGAGACAGAGAACAGTCGTAGCTGGTTAACATTCAAGAATGGAAAAATATGGTTCTCTGAGAAGGTAGCCAGAGGATCTTGCATTCAATTCAGAGGTGGTACCAAGGCTGACATTTTGAAATATAATTACCTATTCCACATTTTTGAGTCGATTCACTGTTTCCAGAACATACATTGTCATGAGTTTCATTTCCTTTCTGAGTTAGAAGGAGACCAAATGCACTGCAGTTTGTGTGTTTTCTACAGGGTGCTTTAGATGACGTCTCATTCGAGAAGAACCCATCTGGACATCTTTTGCAAACTGTGTTTCGCTCTGGGGTTCCTACAGAAAATACCAAGCAATTTAGCACTTTCTGCTCAAATACTTTCACAGCAGACAGTTCCTCTTAAGACCGTTTTGGAAAGACTTTCCACTTGGTTTTTACTGCTACTATCATGTTGCACAAAACTTCAAGCATTTTTCACTTCATTAGACAGAGACGGAAACCTCTACAGCCAGGAGCCCCTCAGCAGTCTCCCTTCCCTGTAATACAAACACAAGTGTGTTGTGCTGTGACCTACAAAACACGAAATGAGAGGAAAGGAAAGAGCAAGGGTGTTCACTTGTCCTGCCTGTGCCCAAGCATCGGTGAGGCCTCGTTTTCAGCCAGATTCGTCACACATCTCTTTCTGGAAAATCATGAAAATAACTGCTGTGTGTCTGCCGTAATAGCATTCTTTGAAATCAGTACCCACTGAACGCTGGGTTGTTAAATTCCAATCGGTGCCTCCTGAAGTCCTGTCTTTCCTGAATCCGCATTGTGAAGCAACTCATAAGTAATGCTAACCTTGAGAAGTAAAAATTTACAACATTATAATAAACTTTTGAAGGTGGCAATAAAGTTGGTCACTGACTCAAAAGCGTAAGCCTGCAGTTAAGCTACACAGTAAATGGGAGATGATAAACCGTTTGCTTAAACTATTGAGTTTTAAAAGAGCACAGTCGTTAAAATTTCAGGGAAGGGTGACTGCAAGGGCATTTTATTTCATGGTGGAAAGATACTTGATAAGTTTGGAGAACTCGCTGGTTAGAAGAACTTGAACCAGCCAACAACTAAAGATAAATACCCTCCAACCCTTGACTCTGTCATGCATAGCCAAATTACACATTACAGTGTATTTGCATATGAAAATACCTCCATCTAGTGTAAGCTAGTTGAACAGATGCAGACTTCAATATTCAAATATAGTTTTTCAGGCCAATTCTGGCTCAGGCGAGATAACAAATACAAAGGGACAAATGAAAGCTACAGAAAGTTAATAAACTTCATTTATTAAAAATTCAAACTCCCCACCTCATTGTATCAAGACCAGAAGAAAGAAAGAAAGAGCAAAACGGTTTGGTTCTAGTTTCAGCTCCTGCTTCTTCTAAAGGGATGGATGATGCATTGATCAGTAAAAATGACAAAGGGCTGGCAAAAAAAAAAAAAAAAAGAGGAAGGGGCTAACCACGGTCTGAATCTTTCCCATGCCATTTCCAGCATTGCAGTGACATCGTGTTAGGAAAAACTTTACATAGAGTTCTAATTTTTTTGTTTTGTTTTGTTTAATACTTTCTTACTACACCTCTCTCCTTCAATGGGATCCAAATGCACACCAGTTCCTACAATATCATAAGCAGAGGTATTTGACTCCATAGTATTCTGTCACTGCACGAAGAAGAATCTTATCATTCTTCAGATACATGCTGAAGGCTTGGGTTGCGCCATGCATCTGGATGAGAAGGTCAACGATACAAGACATTCTTTCAGGTAATGGAGCTTGTAAAGTTCTTTAACAAACAGAATCCAAGAATAATGGAAGGTAAAGTTTCTGAAACATTTGGGAGGCTTTCAACAATGACCTTTCTGAGCCTTTCCCTCTTTTATCGTTGTTAGAACTTTTTGTAAAAAAAGATTTACCTATCTAAATAAAAGACTTTGCTTTATTAATATCCATGGAAATGTAAACGGTATAACCTGACAGGCAAAATGGGAGATACTATAATGAGGAGAGGAGCTCTGCTCTCCCGTTGAGGATGTCACCATGCCAGCCGTACGGAAGGACATCGGAATGACAGGACACACAGACAGATGGGAGTAGGTAAAACAGAGAAAGGAGACAATCTGACTTCAAAACGACAGCAGCAAGGAATGGTTAATACTTTGTGGAATAACACTGCATAGTCCTTCGTTCTCTTTGGACTGGAAACCTCTTATTTTCCATGAGGAACTCTGCCCTGTGGGTTTTTAGGGAGGGAGAGGTAAGTAAGTAAGCCCCACTGTGGTAGCGCAAAATAAAATGTGTCTCTTTGTCTTCTGGCTGCCTGCTTGCTTCATTCCCTAAACAAATTTTCACGCTGATGTGATAAAATTCCTTGCCATTTCCATTATTTTCCAAATTTTTCTAGTTTCCAAGCTGTAGAGTCCCTGCTTAATTAATTTTTCTGCATACACAACTGAACTGAATTGAATTAAACGGATTTGGTTTTGTTGGGTGAGTTTGATGCCCCCTACAATTTGGTTTAGGTTTTGAATCCCAAAGCATCATCCAATAAACGCTAGGAAGTGTCACCCATTTCTCCCTCAAATACTCATGCTAGAGACATTTTAAGGGACACTCATGCAATTTGCACCTCCTGTAATTATTCTTAAGCGATTCACAACT